TTGCCTTGGTTTCCCATTTCTTCCTTCTATCTCCCCCTTCTTTCTCCTCCCTCTTTCGCTATTATTCCCCCTTTTTCAATTCTTCCTTCCTTTTCTCCACTCCCTCCCCCCTTTGACTTTCCCTTTCTCCCTTCACCTTCTCTCTCTTTCCTCTCTCTTTTACCATCCCTTCTTCCTTGCTCTTCGCTTTCCTTATCATTCCTCATTTCCTCCCTCTCCTTCTCCTTTATTTCTTCTATTCTTATGCTCTCTATTCCTTCTCTCTTTCTCCTTCCCTCACTTTCCTACTTCTCTTCCTCCCTCCTCCTCTCACTCTTTTATTATCTCCCTCACTCCTCTTTATCATAATTTCGCTCTCTCTCTCTCTCTCTCTCTCTCTCTCTCTCTCTCTCTCTCTCTCTCTCTCTCTCTCTCCTCTCTTCTCTCTCTCTCTCTCTCTCTCTCTCTCACTCTCTCTTCTCCCTGTCTATCTATCTATCTATCTATCTATCTCTATCTCTATCCCTCTCTCTCTCCATTCTCTGCCAAAATCCCCCCAACCCCCTCTTTAACCTCGAGAAGAGGGGGGAGGGGGCGCGAAATTTGCAAGTCATTTCCCCTTTATGCTCGTGAGTCTATGGAATATTTCAGTCTATTTATTTCTCCTCCCCCTCTCCCTCCTCATCATCATCCCCCTTCTCCTTTTCCTCCTCCACCTTCCCTTCCTACTTATTCCCCTCCTCACTCCTCTCTCCTCATCTACTTCTCTATTCAACTCCCCCTTCTCCCCCTCCTCCACCTCCACCCCTCCTCCTCTCCTCCCCCTTTTTCCCCCTCTTCCACCTTCTCTTCTTTTTTCTCTTTTCTTATCTTTTTCTCCATTATTCTTCCATTTACCTTTTCTTCATCCAACACTAGTTACCATAACTTTATCATGTTAACATTATTATTCTCATTATTTTACCCTTCGTAGATTTTTATCATTCGTATTAAATCATTATCATTATTACTGCCATTCTTATCTGACTTCACTATCTTCTCTTCACCCCTATTATCTTCTCTTCTCTTCACTCCTATTCTTCCAGGAGGGATTTCAACTTTGAACTTTGTCAATAATTTCTTTTGCGAAACGTTTTTAAATATAGGTTTTATAGTATCGACTTTAGATAATAGAATAATCTATATGGAGAGGAGTTCCCCTTCTCTCTCTCTCTCTCTATCTCTATCTCTCTCTTCTCTCTCTCTCTCTCTCCTCTCTCTCTCTCTCTCTCTCTCTCTCTCTCTCTCTCTCTCTCTCTCTCTTCTCTCTCTCTCTCTCTCTCTCTCTCTCTCTCTCTCTCGCTCGCCCCCCCCCTCTCTCTCTCTC